ACTGCCGCTGCTGCTGCTGGAGGTGGAGGGACAGAGTGGGGGAAAAACTCACAAGTAACTCAAAACCCGTGTGTGATTTACCCTCCTGCTGCTCTAACCCAGCTATAAATATTAAACATGGGCTTGGGGTGGGATTGCAGCTTGGCCTGTTGGCTCCTCTTCCCAATGTGCAGCAACCTCATCCATCTCCAAGCTCGGAGGAGCAGGACGTCTCTCTCCTCTCCTTATCCATTTTTCCTCTCCTTATCCATTTTTTTCTCTCCTCAATTAATCACACTAATAGCAGACTGGGGGAAAAGGAGTCTAAAAATCTCAATTTGTCTGCAGGAATGTCAGAACTGGAGCCGTTTCTGCCCCACTGGCGAGGACACAAAGCGTCGGGGAGGGGGGAGAGCTCTGGATTTTGGGGTCTGGGGGATGAGGGATCCCCCACTGCTGTGGGGTGGGACCTGCCAGGGGTGCTGCAGGGTCACAGAGTGCTGGATTTATTCCTTCTGAGGGCTGTAAAACCTCTTTGCAAGGGGCATGTTTGAGTTATGAGTTGCAAAGTCCTGCAGAACTGAGTTTCCAAACTGAGTTTCCAAACTGAGCACCAAAGTCTGGGCAGGAATGTTCCCCCAGTTCACTGTAAACACAGGCCTGCATTAAATAGGGTTCAATTAGCAGGAAAAAGCCTGGAAAACCAGAGTTTCTTTGCAGTTAGAGAGGCTGGAAGAGGGAGAAGAGAGTCCTGGTGCAAGCCCTGGGAAGGCTAAGCCAGACCTGATTTGCCTTGAGGAAATTGCTCCCTTTTATATTATATTTTATATTAAGTAAATGTAAAGTTGGAAGTAAATCTGACCAATTTAAGTTGTACCAGCCTAAATTTCGACTTCCAGCTGTGATAACTTCTGACAATGTTGCCTGCCAGGCTCAGAGCACTCTCCTGTTAGACTGCAGAGTATTAAATCCATGAGATATTATGGCCAAGCCACCTGTTGATCTTTTCCTTCATGAGAAGATTCATCTATTAAACTTAAATTTTTCACCATAAAAATGTATTTAGTGTTATTTTTCTGGAGTGAACAAGCTTTTTCAACCTCCCAGCCCCATGTATCCTTGGCTCCAGCAGTGGGAAATAATTTTTCACGTAAGAGTTCTGCAGAGGACAAATTCAAAGGGAAATATCTCTTCATGCCTTCCTCCCGAGGAGATATATTGCATTTTGGGGGGGAAAACAATACTCTTTAATAAAGAATATTGCATTTTTTCCAAGGCATCTTTCCCCAGTCTCTTCCATTTTGGGCAGAGCATTTAAACTGAATGATCTTAGATTTAGTTGAGATTAGAGATTAGGAAGGAATTCTCGGTTGTGAGGGTGGTGAGGCCCTGGCACAGAGAAGCTTTGGATGCTCCATCCCTGGAAGTGTCCAAGGCCAAGACTTAGAGCAACCTGGCCTAGTGGAAGGTGTCCCTGCCCATGGCAGGGGGTTGGAATGAGCTGAGCTTTAAATGCTTTCCCCCCCAAACCATTCTGTAGTTCTATGATTTGGAGTTCTCACTGAAAATTCAAACATTTCCAGCCGGTCTTTTTATAAACCCTAAAGTTATTTCATTTTTTGGAAGACTTTTTCAGAGAGGGGGGAGAAAAAAAAAACCTTGGAAGAGCTTTCCTGGCTAAGCCTGAGAAAAGCCCTGGGAGTCTGTGTTACTTATTCACTTGGATAAATGTGTTTAGTTCCACAAATGCAAAGGGGCTGGTGCTGCAGGTGTGTTACTGGGTGATAAGTGCTGTTCATACACTTACTAAAGCGGTGTGGAAATAAATGACCACATTTCAGATTATTTTAAACTCCTGACGGGTTCCTTATGGAAAGGAAACAGCCAGCACAAATAGATTAAGCCCAGAATTTATGTTTAATGGATGAAACTCTTTCTGAAGGCGTCAGGTGCTAAAAAAGCGCTGCGGGAAAATGCAAAATCCCACAGAATGGGGACAACTTTGGGGATTTTGCAGACAGGAAGGCTGACAATTATTGCACAGTGATGGTCTCCTTCCCTTTCCCATCCTTTCCAGGCTGCTGTGATGGATGCACATCATTCCCAGGCGGAGAGCATCTCAAACAGTAATGAAAGCACGGCACAAAGCGGTGGGTATTGGCAGAGCACAATCATTAAGATGATTTTCCTCCATAATGAGGTGTTGCGGAGTACAGCTCCATTCAAACCCCTTTAAATAATGTTAGCATTGAATATAATAACCTGACAGGGAAATAAAATCCCTCGCTGGGTCTGTTTCTGTCTCTGAAAGGGAATCAATTTGCTTTGCCTGATGGCTTTCCCCGGCACTTAACAGGGAGGGGGGAAGGGGGTTATTGTGAGGGTGGCCCATGGATTGCCTTCTGAAGGTCAAATCTTTAAAAAAAAAAGAGAGGAAAAGAAAGGAAAACAAGGTCTTGTGACCCCTGGCCTGCTGCTGCTTCGATGGGGTTCATGGTAGGGTACATTTGTATTAATTATATGTACAAGGAGGCTGTTTGTGCCTTCCTTAAAACACCAAGAAGGAACCCAATCATAGCCTGGATCAGAGTCATTTGGGCTCTGTGGCTGTCTGGGAGTCTGTTTTGGTTGGTCCATCCAACCCATCACTTCTGTGGCTTTTGGGACAAAGAAATGCAAAGAACCAATCCAAAAATTCCATCTTCCTGGCTGGCTCCTCTGTGGCTTCGCAGGGAAATCCCCAGCAAAGTGCAAAATCAGGGAGCCCTTTAATAATCCACTTAATTCCCCTTCTCAGGGAGCATCCAAGGGAGGGAAGGCTCTTGTTGCCCTTGGTTTGCTCCGCTCTGCAGCTCTAAAAACCACGAGGTAACATTTTGGGGTGAAACCAGGAGGGTTCAGGCCACATTCCCGAACCACAACCCCCGCAAAGGCAGGATTAACAACCTTTAATGAGCTTCCCAGGGATAACAAGAGGCAGGATTTGGATCTCCTGCAGGATGCAAAGCCCAGGGAAGGTGTGGGTCAAGCAATGAGATGCCTGCAGTCGGCAGAGGGGGAGTTCAGCTACAGGGGGGGAGCGTTTAACAGCCAAATCCAAGTGGGAAGCAATTCCCTCATAAAATTCCAACTGCAGAGTGTCACCATAATGCACCTTAATGACGGGAGGGGGGGGAAATTTTAGAAAGTGGTTTTAAAACACCACTCTGGAATCCATCTGGATTCTCTTAGGAACAAGCAGAGCCTCCTCAGGGACCACTTCCAAGAGCATTTCCTCGTGCTTAAATTATCCCACCCGAGCCCGCTCTTGCATGGACATTGTTACATTAGGGATGATTTCTGACTGCTCCTAATGGGAACAAACTGCACAATATTCCATTAGTGATTCCCAATTTGTTTGGAGTCCTGCACACAGCCTGCCTTGCTGGCTGGGCTTTGGAAGTGGGAGCTGGGGGGGAATTCCACAGCCCTCCAGCGAGATGTCCTGTCTAGGAGCTTTGGAAAGTGGAATTAATTGTGGTTTTTAGTAAACAGGCTGCATTTATATTTATATTTATTCGTATTAATAATGTAGTATTTCTAATATTATAATATTAGAAATATTTATATTATTATAATTATGTATTTCTAATAATGTTGCATTTCTAATATAATAGTGATATATTTATACTATTATAATAGTGTTATAATTGTGTTTAAGTTTGTTATAATAGTGTTTAAGTTGTGTTATATTTATATTTACAATACTGTTGCATTTATAATATAATAGTGTCATACTCATCATAGTGATTGAGTTGTATTTATATTTATAATAGGGTAATATCTATAATATAATAGCATTATAATAGTGTTTAAGTTGTGTTATATTTATAATAGTGTTGGATTTGTAATATTACAATAGTGTAATAATAGTGTTTAAGTTGTATTATATTTATATTTGTAATAGTGTTGTATTTATAATGTTATAATAGTGTTATAGTGTTTAAGTTGAGTTATATTTATATTTATAACAGGGTTATATTTATAATATTATAATACTGTTATAATATTGTTTAGGTTGTGTTATATTTATTTTTACAATAGTACTGTATTTTTAATATATGTTATACTAATAATAGTGTTTCAGTTGCTTTCAGTTTCTATATATAAACTAATGTGTATAAAATAGTATATATAATGTATCTTTTAATATCATCTATATGTAATATGTTATATTTATAATACTGTTGAATGTATAATATTATAATAGTGTTATAATAGTGTTTAAGTTGTTTTATATTCATATTTACAGTAATGTTATGTTTATAATATTATATGTTAT